TAAATATGTTAAACTGTTATGCCCCATTGATGCTCCCCCCTGCTGTCCCACCCCAATACATGTATCTCAGGCCGCCCCCGCCCCTCTCCTCCCCTGTAAATATTCCGGGTTTTCCCCTGTTCGGGAGATTAGCTGTTGCTGGCTCCCTTCGCCAAAGTTCTGCCTGAATAAAGGTTTGTGCTTAGCGGAACGCTAGACCAGCTTTCTCGTCCCTTCTTCCCGTGTCGCCTGCACGCCGCCGCTGAGCCGAGCTGGAATCACTCGCCTGCCCGAAGCTGCTCACACGCACTTCGGCCCAGCCCTTTTCAGGGCTGCTTCTCTAGAGAAGTCGCGGCGCTCCGGCCTTTCGGTCGCCACGGCAGGTTTTAGTGTGTGCACGGAACTGGGAACAGACCTGGTGTCAACTGCTCTACTTATGTTGAATGCCATTTCCAAAATTTTCAGTGTTGGCATTGTTAGAAATTTGGAGCATATAAAAAAGATCACGGTTGATGGGAGCAGCAGGAAAAAAATCCCAAACCCCTTGTTTAAATTACTCTTTTAAGGGAAATGTTAAATCCCAAAAATAAACAAACACATATAAATCAGGTCTGGTTTATACAGAATTCACCATAAATCTGAAGGGTAAGTTAAGCACATGAATTGTTTCTCACAAACAAATGGAGCTCCCTATATTTCCAGTTAAACATGTCTTATATTTCCTCTTACTAAAATATTAGTGATATGCCTCCATAGCAGACTAGTTCTTTTTTTTTTAGCTGTCTAGTAAAAAGAAACAATTACAACACAGCAGCTCTACAAGTGAAGCTGAATGACAAGCTTCATCAACAGTCATCCTATAAAAAGACTAATGTGGTCCTTTTCCCAAGAGGCAGATAGCCATTGCCAGCAGTGAGTTCATAGGGGTACTCTAAGAATAATGTTTGCTCAAGTTATTTAAGAGCACTTTATGATTATGGTTTTGAGAGAAAAATATAAAGACTCAAGTAAAATATCAGAATTGTCTACCTCTAGTTCAAGATTATTTTTCTTCAAAAATTGATATTGATCTCATTGGCCTTCAGATTAAATAAATTTGCAAAACAGTTTCCCCTGACAGGTACAGATAAGTGAACAAAAATGGAATTTTCTAATCAAAGCTACTTGCAAACTTGCATAAAGAAAGAATACTGGAGGAAAAAACCAAGTTCCTCCACCCAGACTGCCGTCCAGGGAATCTCAGGCAGCTTCAGCCAGGGGTAACCCTTAGGAGCAGTCTGAGGCTTCAAGTGATCAGCTCTTTTAGAAATGATTTCAGCTCTGTAATAACCTCAGATCAGACCAGCTCCACCCATGGGTTACCCCAGCTAACACATAGACTAGAGACAGGAGTCCGTGGAGCATTCCGTGGAGCCCTTTATCAGCAGGCTTCAGCACAGGAGGCCTGTGACAAACTTCCCCTGAACTGGGCAAAAGCTGGGGTTTTTATAGGGAAGGGGAGAATTGGGAAAGGGACCAATGGTCTGAGACCGGAATGAAATGACCAATAGTTTACAAGGAGATAACATGGGGTCCAGAGGAAGGAAGGGGTCCACAGCTTAGTCACCATGACTAAGTAGTTTTGTCTTATCTTAGGGGACAGATCTCCAGGGATGGAGCCTGTCAGAGGAATGGGCTTCCTCTACACCAGACCATTAATTTAATTTAAAGCAATAGACAGCAATGGTAAAAAGAGCAGCAATTCAGCTCTAGAGCCCAGATCTTTTTTGCTGTTAGTTATAGTTACACTTTTTTTTATTTTTTGGAATCAGCCATTAGAGGATGATGCCCAGGCTTCACTGGGTTGCCTTCTATATTAAAGATTTAACTAATGCTTAGGTAAAGAGTCTAGCACTACGTGCTTAGGAAAGCAATAGAAGATAAACTGGAAAATCCAGCAACTTTCTTGGACAATTCAAGAAAGTCTGTAAATTCTGACCAAGAATTACAACAAAATTATATCAGTTAGACAAGTCTCCAGAGTGCAGGGTAGCAACATTTTTAGACTTCTACCCATATACATCAAGAGAAGATTTTCTTCCCACAAACAGCAGCTTCACCTCTTGTGTGTCTCTAGAGCTGTACACATGAACTCATGCTCCTGGCATGTTATAAATGCAAAGGCAATTTCGGGTTATATAAAAGAGAAAATTTATTATCAAACAATAATAAATTCGAACAAAGAGAAAAAAACCACAATAAAATGAACAGCGCAGCGCTGGGTGGACAGGGTCTATACGCAAGGTATAGGTGCTCCCAAATCCACACCTGAGAGTCCTTTGGCCTGGGTTTTTATAGGAAGTTTGTGTCCCGAGGCCAAATTCCAAGCAGGCACCCTTTGCTAAGAGGTTCTTAATTGTTCGAAGAATAGATTTCCTGGCACCAGAGAATAGAGTCAATAGATGTTGGGCAGAGGCTCCTCATATGTAAAGAGGTCCAGGATGTCTTTTTGATATCATTTTGGTCCGGGCCATTAGGGTGGAGTGGTGGCACCCATCCTGGAGCCGATGGCTATCTCGGCTGGCTCCTCTTCCTTTGTCTAGTTTCTCCATTTCTCCAGCACAGGTGGTCAGGGTGGAGGTGCTCAGGCTCGGCGATATCTCGTCCGGGCCCGTTCTTTTGTTTGTTCGATGGCCCGTGTCTTGCCCATTCTTTCGGGGCTGATGTGCCTGCTTGCGATTGTTATCTGGGTGCTTGGCTGCAATCTGTTGCTTTGGAAGAGAAATCCTGCCTCGACCTGGAGGAGGATTTCTCATTCCATATTTTCATCATTTACAATTACATATACTTTATTTAAACCTTTTCTTTCGAATTTTTATTCATCCAATTCTTTATTACAGTGCCATCTCGGCATCTTTGTCTATAGCAATTTGTCACGTGCTTTAAAAAAGCAGAACTCAGATTTTGAGGACTTGCACCAATTAAATGCAGAGCTCTGCAAAAGGGATGAGGTTTTATCTTTTTGACCAAAAAACCCAGAAGAAGATTTGGAGAAAGAGTGGAGCAAGGAAAGCTGATCAAGATAGCAAAGTTCCAAATTTGGTAACAGGAGCAATAACTATACAGCAAACTTCTATTTATATTTACATAAATTAATTTCTTAATTTAATTATGCTATTATGCCCACAAATTTGTATCAAATCCAACACCATAAACCCAAACTCATCTTAATGAAGACACAATAACACAGCAAGATGTCACTGTGTAATTACACTAAGGCCTTGATGGGTAGCCAAATTAACCCACTGTGCTTTCCCTTGTCCTTGGGTGACTGTTGTTTGTTCTTCTGCTTGAACTGAAGCAATTTTTTTTTTTTCTGCACTATGAATGCTTACATTAATGTTTTTTTGTGCCTCCCCTGTAACCTGGGTAGGTTTTACCTAAAACAGAGCATAGTGTACGACCTAAGCACTAGAAAAGTCAGGCCTGAACTCTGCAGGAACTTAATGTTCATTGCCAGTGTGCTCTGCTGCTGTCATGGAAAGTTTATGGACACTCAAGATCTAAGGTGGCACTTTGATGTGCTGTTTTTGCAACATATGTTCAATCACCAGCTGATTTTAAAAATGTATCAAGTTCAAGAGGGCTTTGAGCAAAAGGTCATTGACCTGTACTTTGATGGATATGGTTACTGTCTGTTTTTCTGAGGTGCCAGGCCCCTCTGGCTGCCACATGGTTGTTCAGACCTCTTTTCATCCTTTGGAATCCCAGATACACATGGGCTAAGCGTCATTGCTAACCCTACTACTTTTTCTGGTGGCAGCCCCGATAAAAGATGTCGAAGTAGAAGGGACTGTGTGTTGCTTGCATGTTTAAGACACTGGACTTTTCAGAGAACACTGTTGTCCTGAAGAAGAGCTGCACAGATAATACTATCTGTGGTGTGGTGCTGTGATACATCAGGAGCAGAGCTCTCTGCAGCTTTACATTTATCTGTGGGACCATGGGAGAAAGGCCAACACTTAAAAACACTCAGGTCTGTGGTCCCTGAGACTGAAATATAACTATAGGCTCACGCTTACATTATGTTTTCATAGACTTATAGGATAATTTGTGTTGGAAGGGACCTTTAAAAATCACCTATTACAACCCCCCCTTTGTGTGAAGCCTCCTGCCTTTCTTTGTTGCTCTTGCCTCATTAGGCTGTTAGCTCTTGCAGGTGGAAGGTACCTTTGCTCAGTGTTTGTACAGCACATGAGGATCCCAGTCCCACTGATTCCTCCAGCTGCTGCTAAAGTAGCAATGAACAGATTCACTGCATGTCCTTTGCATGTGAGCCATGTTCTTCAGTCTTGCTTGGCTAGGTAAGACATGGTGTTTTTCCTGCTCTCCAAGTGGATAAACACTCTCAGGTGGCCAGAGTAAATTAATTTCAGATGCAAGTAACATTCAAGGGTCTCCATTGGCCCGTATCTGCCTTTTTTTAAATTCGACTCTGTTCTCTTCAACTGCCGATTTGGCTAAATAGAGATAATGAAGAGCTGGTAAAACAGGCTTTCCTATAGCAAGGAAAAAAATACCAGGCTCTTCTTATCTGGTAAGCAGGACTTAAGGGCTTGATTCTCTGATATCCTATATCTTGTGACAAAAGCAAATACCTTTCTATAAGCTGGCAAATTTTCTATCCACTTTGCATTCAGGCAAATACCGATTCAAAGAGCCAAGACAAAATCATCATAAATTAATATTTATAAGAGAAAATAATGAATGAAATGACAAGATAAAAAGATATTTGCCTACATGGCTATTTCCTATCCTAGCTGAAAGAGTGGCTTTTGCAGTAATGTTATTTAATGATAATCAGAAAAGGTTTAACATTTCTAACCCACGTTTAAGTAGCTAGTCTCCAAACATCTTTAACCCATGATGCAAAAGCACTGCGTAAAGTTGGCACTGTGTGTAGCATAAGTGTACTCTTGTATTGAAATTCTGTCATTGGAAGTGTTATTTTCACAGGAAAGAATAACTTATATTGGAAAGACCTTTAAGATCATCAAGTCCAACTGTAATTTTGCTGGTAAGTGATAAAAGGTTTTTACCTTCTTAAAGACTGTGGGCAGACACCTTCAAAAAGCCTGAAAAAGCCTGAAAATTAGTTATATAAGGAAGCTGGGGTAGAGAGGCAGCCAGCAATTTCATAGTTTGCCTTGTTTTTCTTTTCTGGCAAGGAAAAAGGGCCTGGGAAAACTCTCCTGAGCTGAAATTGCAGCTGTCTAACAGGAATGACACGAGCACAGGAAATAGTTGCCTTGTAGCTGCTCTCTGGGGTCCCAGATGACTTCAGTGACATTTGCTCCAACTTATGTGTGTGCATGAGGAGCTGCAGAGTCATGTTCCCAAAACCAGTGCTCCTTGAGCCAGCAATGGGTTTCTCTGTCCCATTCAGGCTTTCTGTGATGAGGGTAATTGGAGAACTGTATGATTTTACAGGGGATCCTATACCACTGCTTTACTTCACAGAAGTGTATCTGAGGGACATTTGTATTGTTTTTGTCAGAGAAATATGAAATACTTACATCCCTTCCCAGTTAATTAGATAATTAGATAATTTTGTATCAAAAGAGCTACAAGTGATTAAGCTGTTGAAAGTGTTGAAAGTGATAACTTCAGTTACAGGAAGCCTCCAGGGACAATATTGTAGCCACAGCACTAATAAATAATTGTCATCATAATAACAGATAACACAGAAGCGTGCTACTTCTCAGTTGTCCGAATGGCTGCATAACTTGATAAGAAAAATACCGTTGCTGACAGATAAGAAAACACTTGATATTTTACTAGGTCAAACTTAAATTACTCTTTTAAAAATAGTTTTGTAAACAATGCAATTCTTTTCCTCAGGTATGACAAGTTTGCGTGGTTCCTGCTGAGAAAATTAATTACTTGGGAATCAAGATGTATAAAGTCACTCATGACAAAGAAACAACAGCATTTTAAACAAAAAATTGCAGGTGATCCCTGTGCCAAAAACTCCTGTCAGAGCTGGTAGCAGCAAACAAATCAGTGATGTGCAGGTTTCTTAACTTTATAGTTAATTGTTCAGACTAAAACGAAAATAAGCACATGAAAGACTGTAATAAAGTAGTACTAATACTTATAAAGATCAGAGCATATGCATATCTTCCTCTATTTTGCTTTTCTTTGTAATTTAAGATGTTAGTTTATTGCTATAAAATGATCTAAAATCAAATTCTGGGATTTTTTTTCCTGTTATTCCTTTATTTTTCTATTTTACTGCTCTTGCATTTGAACCTAAATGTCTCCATTTAAACATTTTGCAAATACATGGGATAAAATAACCCAGGAAACCTAATGGACACCTTTATGAAGCACATTGGATAAATGTTAAGTAGACATCAGTGGTATTTATTTTGCAAAAGACTTCGATGAAATTATCGTGTAAGGGTTGTGTAAGTACCAAGCTAACTATTGATATTTTTTTTTATAATAGTCCTTTCCTCTCTAAATTTTGTAGGTTTTGGTGGGTTTTTTTTCACAGCTTCCATTTCTGGTTTTGGTAATATGAATTTACCCTCCAGCCAGCATCCTATCACAGAATTACAGAATCATTGTGTTGGAAGAGACCTTCAAGATCATTGAGTCTAACCCATGCCCTAATACCTCACCGAGTGCCGCATCCAATCTTTTTTTCAACCCATCCAGGGATGGGGACTCCATCACTTCCCCAGGCAGACCATTCCAGTACTTTAACACTCCTTCCATAAAGATATTTTTACTAACATCCAACCTAAATTTCCCTTGGTGCAGCTTAAGACTGTGTCCTGTAGAGAAGGAGGAACTGAATGAAGAGTGGAGAAAACCTGCAGGGTTGTCCTTTCACTCTGAAATTCAGTTACTCCTGACTCTTTTTCTGTACTGATATATAGGAATTCTAATTAACATTTCTGTAACTGTTTTACAGCAAAATAGTAAACATTTGTAAAGTTCATTCCTGGTTCTAAACCATTTTCCATATAATTAATTTTTATTTCAAGGTGTCCTAGACTAACAGATGAGAAAGATGACAGAGTAACAAATGATGCCTTGTCAGACACCTCTCTTAGTGTCTGTGAAGGTACTTCACAAGCAGCTTCATCTTTGCTTTTTTCTTTCAAAAAATTATCTTAATGGAGCTGGTTGTCTGGTAGAAGGGAGGCAGCTAATGATGTGTGGACAGAAAGGAAAATGAAAATGTAGGTGATATACTAGGAAATGGAGAAAATGTCAGATCCTTCACTTCTTCAAACATACACACAGAAAAGCTGCACTTCATAGTCACTCCATAATTACGGAGAGATAGTTTAACACAAAAATAAACCCTTTAATTGGGTGTACTGCTGGCCGCAGCAAAAGATGGGTGTTTGGTTGGGAATGAATTAAAGACATGTAAACATATTTTTCATTCAGGCATTGGTGTTTTTTCCCTTTGCAACCCATCAGGACAATGTAGGAGGCACACATGGAATGGGGACACCCTTAGCATCCATCTTCAGAGCTGGACAGAGAAGCTGTGTCGCTCTCCTTCCCTTGCCTCCATGATTTCTGCACAGTGTGAGTACAACCACTGGCTCATCAAGGACAGCCTTGGTTTTTGGCTTCTCAGGGAAAAACTTGTCCTCCATGCATGCTCAAGGCAGGACATCATTACACACAAGATCAAATGCTGGCTGTGGCTGAGGTCTTGCTCCTGGTCCAGTGTCTATATTGGAGATAGAAGATGTGCCAAGGAAAAAAGCCCCATGCTGGCAGGAGTCAGGAAAGTTGCTGTTGGCTGTCCATAAATGCAGTGTGTAATTGGTTCTGCTGAGCTTGCAGGACAGATTGTGCAGCAGAGAGTGTCATGCATACATTTTTTCCGGACCCAGTTCAAGTAGGGACTGATTCTCCCTCTCCTATTTTTAAAACAGAATGACACAGTTAATTTCAATGTGCAGGCACAGTTTCACTGCTGGGTTTGGTAGCCCAGCTCATTCAGATATTCCCTTCAACCAAATATGTGCTTACAACTGTGTTGTGCAGAGGGGAGAAGAACAGCCCTTTCCCACCATGCATGATGCCAGAGGCAGATTGCACACTGGACAGTGCAATTCAGATCCCACACACAAAATACTGTTAGTTGGGCTCAGGCCAGATCCATAGGCCACACACAGTGGCTTATACAATAATAAACTAATAATAAACCTGTAGAGATCCCCTGATGCCTGCTTCCACTGCACCCCAAGCAGGACCATATTCTTTCTTGCTCCAGGCAGTTGTCAGTGCGGTAGGGACTGAATCCCTTTGCTCTAGGGAAACCTCCTTCTCAAACCAGCCTCCTCCCATGTCTTCCTGGGATTCACTTTATACGTATTAACTTAAGAGAGCCACAGGAAAGCTGGAGAGGGACGCTTAACAAAAGCATGTAGTGATAGAGCAAGGAAGAATGACCTAAAACTGAAAGAGGATAGGTTTAGATTAGATATCAGGAAAAATTTCCTTACCGTGAGAGTAGTGAGGCTTTGAAGCAGATTGCCCAGGGAAGTTCTGGATGCCTAAATCCTGGAAGCTTTAGGCAACCCAATCTAGTGGAAGGTGTCACTGACCATGACTCCATGACAGGAGGGTTGGAATGAGATGATCTTTAAGATCCCTTCCATCCCAAACCATTCTGTGATTCTATGATTCAGGTGGCCAGCAGCCACCAGAGCTGCTCCTTAGCTGGGAAGAGCAGGGATCAGCAAATGGCCCTGTAGCCAAGAGCACCTGGAAAGCAAGGCTGACAGTGCTCAGGAGCTGAGGTTACATTTTGGGGTGTGAGGGAAAGGAATGTCAGAAGGGCCAGGACAATGTAGAGAAGAGGCCACCACTGCCTCCCATGCTGGCACTGGCACCAGCAGCATCAGGTCCCTCCCTGCAGCCCCCAGCTGTAGTGCTGCACCGCTCCTCTTTCCCCCTGTCCTGAGGCAGGATCCTCACAGCCCAAGCCTCTGTCTTTCAGCTGCCATCATCCTCCTCCTGCCACCAAGATGCCTTGAGCAGGCTGTGCCCGGGTGTGACATGCTGGCCCTGCAGGGGCTTGTCTGACCAGGCCCAGCCCAACCCAGAGCATGTCTCCAGGGTCATACAATGCGTGTGTGACACTCAGCAGGTCTTACAAAGGTCTACTTTGAGACAGCAGTGACGAAATTGATAATGACTGGTCAGCCTTTGTGAAGTAATGGTGTCACTGAATTAAATTCACTGCAATTGGATCATCAGTTTTGACTTTTCTTTGCCAAAGGAGTAATCTAGAGACAGTCCAGTCACCAGAGGGAGGACTGCCAGATTCAATATCCAGGTTGGAATCAACTTGCAGGGTTAAGCCTGGCTTTGGACATTGTTGGAACAGTATGGTCAGACACAGTTTATACCCTCAGTTGCTGTGAGCAAGCCTAGCTTTAGAGAAGGTGAAACAGCCATTTCCATCCATGTGTAGTGACAAATCCAGAAAATCTAACTGCTGCCTGGTGAACTTAAAACCATACTGCTATCTCTTCACTTGTGTAGGTTAGAACCACAGTGTTATCTTATACTGCTCTGCCTAACTTCATGTGGAAACTGAAAGGAATGTTGAATGGCCATTATTATGGACATACTTATATGCTTGTACAGTGGCCTCTACCTGAGGGCTTTCACTCCCATGGCAATTCCAGCTGAAAAGAAATTCCATCTCTAATCTAAATAGTCAGACCAGTAAAAATATTTGAAGCACAAAGCAGGCCTGGGTGGGTGTGCCTCTCCCTGTAGTCAATGCTGGTAAGATAGGAAGGGTTGGTGCTATTTTAAACACGACCATTGCACTTTTCCTGTAACACCCCTGTGTGTACATCTAGTGTGGTGTGCACTTAGCTCCAAAATGGGCAGTGAGGAAGCTGACAAATTTTGTGTGTGTTTGAACTTTCATAACCCCCTCATCTGATGTGCTACAATCTCTGCAACAGAATAAGACTTCTTTCTTCCTGTGCCCTAAATAAAAATAAGTTCTCATTGCTTTTTCTAGAGTGAAAAATGAGAAAATGCTTTTTTACTTTTCACTTTTTCTGGTTGATCCAGTGGACACCAGTACAGTGGACACCAGTAACTCACTAGGTCAATTATAATCCTTTTAAAATTCTTTCTCATTATTTTTCCTTAGTTCTCTCACACTGTCCTCCAGTCCTTATTTTCACCTGGGTTTGTCAGTCTCCCGCTTCAGAGCCTAGTCTTGTTTCAGATCTTAGTTTTGAGGGTTTTTTAGACTTGTCCATTCCTGGGGACCAGGATGGAGATTTTTGTCTCCTACTTGTCCCTCACTCTGAGGAAAGACATGTGACAGAACACAGGAGTCATGATTTTTGAATGCTTTCATGCTCTGGGATTGCTTAATCTGTTTTCTCCCACCAGCACCCACTTTTCCCTTTTCCACACTGTTTTTGTGGAATGAGTCTGACTGCTTCTGCAGGAAAAGCCAGACTGCACTCCAAAGCACGCACTCTCTTGACACCCCTCAGGAAAGCCAGGCTTCTACAAACCCTGTCTGACCCAGGTGCCACACAACCTCAGCCCATGCTTCTTGACAGCAGCAATAAGGAGCAGTTAGTTATCCTTTCCATTCAGGTATTTTCATCTGCTGTCCATACACAAACAAAGTTATAAGCACTTCTGTGTCATGTTAGTATATAGGATGTGCCTGAGACCATGCAGTGGAATAGGTGAAGAATTTATGTCAGAAGTTACACCTTTTTTTATCCTTTTCTGGGCCACTTCCTCTGTGACCATGTGCAAGTCACAATATTTCTGTGACTCAGTTTCCACTTTAACAATGAAGTAATGATCCCTGCTTTCTAGGGATGCTGTGAGGATATTGCTTCCAACATTACATAATGCTTTGGGATCATCACTCAAAAAAGTCTCAAGTGATGGCAAGAGTCCAGGCCTCTGTCCTCAACTATTTTAGTTCACAGCATAAAGAACCTCCTGTAGTGGGAACACTAGCCTCAGCTCTGGTGACACAGGTGACACACTTGCACCACTCTCATCTCACAAGCAGAAAAAGTAGTTTTCTCTGTGAGTGGTTATACAAAGCTTGTACATTTTAACACCTCCCATGCACAATATATGTTGTGCCATCACTTACTGACAAGAACTTGAAGAAACATGAGAGTTAAAGGAGTGGCTACCAGACAGTAAAAT